ACCAAAAGTAAGTTGGACACTATTTGCTTTGTAGTATGATAAGCAGTAAAAGCATTAACTGGGAAGATTATACCAAAAATTAAAGATACTGTCAAGTGAACTAATCAGGAACTTCAAGTTACTTCTAGGATAAAGGCAGGTAATTATGGAGTAAATACAGCCCAAGTTGTATCTCTATTAAAAGAAGTCAATTGGCTAGACAAATACTTTCTCTTCAAAAATAGCTTAACTCAATCTAGGTATCCATTGATGGATGAATAGATAAGATTTGCATAAATACAATGGAATATTACACAACCATAAAAAAGAACAAAACTTGCCATTTGCAACAACAGATAGACCTAGACAGTATTATGCTAAAGGAAGTAAGTCAGAAAAGAAAGACAGGTGCCATATGATTTCACTTTCACCAATATATATGGGATCTGAAAAACAAAGGGACAAAACACACTCAGATATGGAGAACAAATTGCTATCTCCCACATAGGATACAGGTGCAGGGGGGGATGGATGAAAAAGATGAAAGATTATGCAGTACAAATTGCCAGTTACACAAATGGTCACAGGGCTGTAAAGTGCAGCCAATAATAGGGAATAGCCAATGATATTGTCATAATTGTGTATGGTGCCACATGGGCACTAGACTTACCATGGTATCATTTTGTAAGGTATATAAATGTCTAATCACTATGTCCTACACCTGAAGCTTATAATGTATGTCAACTATAATTGAAAAAGAAACTTAAAAAAATGTTAACTCTCATTAAAACTGTTGCTTCAATCCATATTTTAATTTATACTAGAAATTTCTAACATTCCTTTATAAACTTAAGGTGTATTTCTGTGCTTTACTCTAGGGTTCTGGGTACATTGCAATGATTCCAAGCTAAGCATGTGCACTATGGATGAAGTATGCAAGGCCCAAGCTTATATTTTGTTTTATACCCAGCAAGTTACTGAGAATGGACATGCTAAACTCTTGCCTCCAGAACTCCTGTCTGGTATCCTACCTCCTACTGAAGAAGTTGATACCTCTAATGAAATGCTTAGCTGATCCAAAGACAGTGGGGCTTCTTGCAATTTATATATATATATTTTTTTCTCCAAGGGCTGACTTAAAATTTTGAGCTTTGTCTTTTTTTACTTACTGAACCAATGCATACTATGTGTATACATTTTCTAACTACATCATTTTACAGAGATGAAACATAAATATATGTGTATCAATTACAGTAGGTAACAACTTTTTCAAGTACTTGGGAGTTTTTAAGTTTTTAGTATTTACCTCACACTGGTGTTACCTCTTTTATATTTAGTTTTAATCAGCTCAGATCATGAATTTGTGCAATCTTGTACTGAAGTTCAGGTAGCATCATTTTATAATTTATCTTTTGCAGCTATTTTCTACACAAATTCTTATTCAATGGAAAATTAGACACTTTCTTCACTAACAATTTTACCCTGCAAAAGCAATTTCTTTCAGGCCATTTGTATATTGAAGTTACCTTTGCCCCTTGAAGGAAGTTAAACTACTACTTTCAAAGAGAAATAGCAAGGTATCACCTATATACTCATCAATCACACTCATTGATATTTCTGAGGCTTTGTGTTACTGGGCTCAGAAGATGTTGTTAATGGAATTTTATTTTTTTCAAGAATTTATTCTTAATAATTGCTCCTCATTTGGCATAGTCAAACTATACAAAGGAAAATGACAGCTTTATAAATAATATGTTAAATGGCTTCATTACTATGGACATGAAAACAATGACGGCTTGGACTCATGATGATTTGTCTGGCAGCAAATATGTACGTCCTGATTCAAATAAAGCAGTCTTATCAAAAATTTGAATTTACCAAACAGTATATTGTTACACAGTTTAACTTGGATATGATTTTATGACTAAACATTGTATCCCGTAAGCCTTTGTACCACATATCTTGAGATCCTTAAAGGAATAAAAATAAGCTTTGAAGCAAAAAAATTATAGGGCAGAGAAAATAGCTGTTCAAAATTGGCAGACGGACCCTGGTCAGATTGCTTTGTTGGTTGGTTGGAGAATCATACTGTGCACCAAAAGGTTGTGGATTCAGTCCCATCAGGGTACACACGGGAGGCACAGATTGATGTTTCTCTCTCACATCAATGTTTCTTCTTCCTTCCTCTCTCTCAAACAAAGTACATCCTCAGGATTTAAAAAATTGGCAGCTGAGCAATATGCATCTCATTTTTCTAAGTAACTAAAGCCTAATGTCTCACTCTTACTAGGATTATGTGAATACTAGGTGCCTCTTTAGATAGTCAAACTCTGGGCCCGGACATTTAAAAAAAATTATCTTGTACTTTTGTTAAAATAAGGTATGACTCTGTTCTTCCCTAATAATCTTTCTAGATCTCTTTAAAATCCTACTGCTGCTAACTTCTGAGAAAGAGAAGAACCCACTAACAGATGTTGATCAGCTATGTAATAAGATCTTAGGTCAGTGTTAATCACTGGATCATTTTTTTCCTTGAGTTTTCTTGCAGGTTGAAATCTTAATGATAGTATCCTGTTAAATACTGTTCTCCACTAGTAATTGTAAGTATAAACTTGAGAAGGACCTCTATTAGCAAATTTTTCTAAATTTCAGAGAGCACGTCACCTGGGGCAGCCAATTGTGAAGTGCAATGAGAATTTACCACTGTACAGACATATGATTTACTGCCAAAATTACAACTTGTTAAATGGCTAAGGTTTAAAATCATTAAGTATCTATGCAAGTTACCTCAACTGTTAATGTAATTATACCTTATTAAAGATTTACATGGTCAAGATATGTGAATATAGTCTTTCTTAATCTCAAGGATAGGTTAACTGCTATACATTTAACACCTAATTTTAGTGGGATATTTTAAAAACTCTGGAAGCTATGTTATTTATAATGGTATAGTTGTTTATTTCAGTATTTATTTCAATGTAATATTGATGAGAAAGAAAGAACGTGGCGTAGCCCCTTTTAATCCCTTAAAACTAAAACCTGCACCAGAGGCTGTATGCGTGAGGTCAAGGATGTGGTAACTCTTGCTCAATTTTGCTAACCTACATCGAATCTAAAAAAATAAAGCCTATTAAAATTAAACTAAAACCTAGACAATGCACGGAAACTTAGATTCCTTACTGTATATCTCAATGTGGACTTCCACATTCTGCTACATCAATCTAACAAAAAACAACATGTTTTGGTTATAAAATAATTTACTAAAGGCACTATTGTTAAACATTCAAACTAAGAATTATTTACCAATAAGGTACATCATTATAAACATGACAAAATGATTTCAAAAGATACACACGGCTAGTAGATAAACAATACAATTTTTCCTCAGGTAACAGCTTTCCCAGCCATTCCAGGGGCATACAAACGATGGCACTGCTCCCAACAGTTAGTTCCCTGGGAAGGGAACTTGGGTCTCAGGAACAGTTTTGAGATCACTCCTGCTAAATAATTCTTACAAAGCTCCAAAATTCTTCACTCACAGGGTCAGTTCTAAAATTTTTGAGCTTGGAAATCAAGATAACTTTATTAAACCAAAGCACATCAAAATGGTATGGACTCAAAACTACAGAAGAACTAGCTGAAGGGCCCAAGCCCTCTAATGTGTCCAAGAACGCATGGGTGAGCTCTGCCACTAGCACATACAGAAAAGAGGGAACTTATTCAAAGGTAGTTATTGAACATTAGCACCATAAGTAAACATGGCTCATATCGCTAAACTAGAGTGCTTATCCCACAAGGTAACATTTATAGTTCCAATTTTGAAAGCCACTTTAATGTGTAAAAAATGATCTAAGTACAGAAGTCAGGTTTCTCTTCCTATGAGAAAAACATTAAAATACAAAACAGCATCCCAGAGGCAAAAAAATGTTACTGTGCTAAACATACAAATTATGACTTTACCTTGATACATAACTTTAGAAATTATGTTGAAACATTCCCCCAAAATCATTTACACAGAACTTAAGCCATTTGTTTAAGAACTGGTAGTGGGGCTCAGTTCAAGTATTAAGCATCTTACATTCAACTTACGCACTTAGCTGCTGTAATGAGTCACTGTAACCTCACTTCCTGAAATATCACCCATAATGTTATGAATCCAAACCAGTCAGGGGCAGCTAATGAAAACGTGTTTTCACTAGCTGTTCTAACTAGTTTTCACAACCTTGTTCTAACTAGAATAAGGCCCAATCATGGTTAAGTTTTCCTGTTTTGTGGTTTCAAATGCCTTTTTGGTTTACTGAGCAAACTGAATATACTTCCTGATAAATATATCATTGCACAAATGATGTAAATGTTGAGATTTTACTAAATGAAGGTTTCAAGTTGGTACCATGTTCCTACTAAGTCATATTTCAAAAAGATCTTTCCAATGTGAGGGAAAAAAATGAAAGACAAGGACTAATATGGCCCTAAAAAGAAAAACAAAAAATCCCTAAAGCTGTATATTAATTTATGAAGCTCTCCTCCCACTTTATATATGTACAGACATTATTTGGCCACTATGTCAGGAAAAAAACTTTCAGTGTAGAAGTCTACAACCGTATAAAAGGTTCTACATTTTCCTACATTAAGTTGTTATTCCCTGTGCAAAAAAATTATAACCAGAGACATTGAAAGATAGCTCTCAGATCTGAAAATGTCTTTATTTTTTAGAAAATGGATTACAGGAAGGTTAAAAAGCATTACCAGAAGGTATAGGTGCAGAATTGGGTGTAGTCATTCAAAGCATTCAAATAAGAATATGGCGATATAAATATTTGAAAATCATCTATTAGGTGTTCAAAACAAAATGTTTAAGTCATTCCTAATTTGAACATTTGCGCATTTTTTAGACAGGAGAAAAACAGTTGACATTTTAAAGTCCTGAAAGCTTTTTTGGTGGTTAATTACACTAGATGGTTTGCCTTTGATCAAATCCCTTCCTTTTTAAACATGAATAAAAGTATTACATAGGTCCACTGTTAAACAGACATATTGCGAAATTAATTCCGGTATAACGTATTCCCACAAAGCTTATAAAATAAAAGACATTACGGTGGCTTTGGACTAGAGGTTTAATAGTCATCTCCTCTGCTGACAACTTCTTTACACGTTGGACGCAACAGTATGGTATGTTCAAACTGTGCTGTATACGATCCTTTAATGTCACATAATGGTGGATATGGATCTACAATGCCCAAGTCACACAGATTCTTCAGAGCCATCAGGTATTTACTTTCTCCCAAGCGATCCAGCCATCTCCGGCAGAAGGCAAGGGTGCCAAAGTTTTCATTGATGACATTTAACAAGTGTTTTGTTCTTGGAAGCCTAAGAGAGGAAAATCCAAGATTAACAGTAAGCTAAAGAATTACCTAAATTCACTTCTCCCATTAAGGAAAAACTCAAACAGTAGCCTTGGCTTTAAGTAACTAAAGTTCAAAAAACTTTTTTTGGTGCCTGTTTCAACTTACAAGAGCCAGAATGTACATAACCCATCTAAATAGGAAGACAGCTGAAGGCTTTCTTAACGTGTTTGTGTCTCTCCGTGTGTGAAATTGCATAGTTGTTGGTATAGCCTTACCAACAACATTATGGTGAAAATTTCCCTTTTTGTGCATCAAGCTGAAAGACCTGCATGTACTATAGGTGTAAATACAGCTTTCAACCACCTACCCCAAAAGAATTTCTTAAAAAGTAAATAAAAATATAAAGTTTACCAAATGTAACAAAAATCTAGAAATGCCACAAAAAGAATCTCTAAAATTATTATGATTATCAGAAAATGGACCCAAAGAAAATACATCATTTTCATTTCAGTTAAAAAAAATTTTGTGAAGAGTTTATTTGTGCCTGACCAGGAATTAAACCCGTGACCCTTTACTCTGTAAGATGACACCTAACTGGGCCACACTGGTCAGGGCTCAGTTTAAAAATTTAACAGGCCAGTTTCTTTGCTGTATTACAGAAATGCACAGATCTTATTGTTAGGCTACAGAACTGTGTATTTACCACTGGATATTTGTCACATTTTTTTAAAAATGCTTGTAACTGGAAAAAGAAACTCACTAGTCATATAGAAATAAGACTCTCACCTTATTGGCACATGTCCAACATCAAAATTTTTCATATAATGTGAGCATTCCATATCATCATGAACAACGCCTTTTCCTGTGCTACCAAAGGTTTCAATGGCATACACTTCTCCTTCCTAAAAAATATATTAGAGTGGGGAGATAAGAAAAAATCAGAACTAATCAAAATGATCATAACTTGAGGCTGAGGTATTCGCTACTTCCGGTAAGAAACTACATGAAATACCTCTGGCAGTCCTCCTACCTTTCCCTGCTTTACCTCTTTAACACTTTTTGGTCTTTCTGTGTCCTATTAGAATGTAGGTAATTTTCTTTTGTTCACTACTATATTCTTAGTGCCTACTGAAGAGACTGGCACGTCCATGATGCTCAGTAAATATTCACTAAGTGTTGAATAAAACAATCCTTTGCCATACCCAATTTCCACAGCTGATGTAAGCCCTGATCCAACAAGACAAAATTTGCACACTCACATGGCCCAACCCCTGTCATAGTGAGTATGGATGGCAAGTTAATTTTGTTCAACATACTATGTACTCAACCATCATTAACTTCTGCTTGGGAAAAAAAAAATCAAAATGCTTCACAAAGAACATACAGACCTCCATTCTTGTTGCCTCTCCCCCTTTCACAATGGGCACTGTTTTCCCAGCATGTATTCTGTATGGCCCAATTGAATGTCCATTTAGATTACGGATTGGCTTGACTGATATAAAAGGAAAAAAATAGTTATGCAGAGTCTCAGGAAGCACAACTTTAGTTCAAGCACTTATTTAAAAACAAAATATGGCTCTACTAAATAACGTCACATTAAGTTAGTTAAAATACAAACTGAAAACTAGTGTAACATAAAAAGATATTTATTACAATGTTATTAATTGAAAACTAAAGGGAGTAAGGGGAGACAGTGGAAAAAGAATAAACCGTGTGGCCCTGACTGGCGTGGCTCAGCTGGATGAGCACCATCCTGCAAAGTGAAAGGTCTCCAGTTGGACTCCCCATCAGGGCACACACCTGGGTTGCACGACCAGTCCTGGTTGGGTGCATGCCAGGCAACCTATTGATGGGATGTTTCTCTCCCTCCCTTCCCCTCTCTCTAAAATTAAATAAGGTCTTAAACAAAATAAATAAATAAACTATGTGATGAGGACATAATGGGGGTTCGGCTAAGAAGGTACTGTTAATCAATAAAAATACCATAAAATGCCATATGTACAATGATTACATACATTTTTACGGTTATGGACTAAAAATACAAAAATCAGTATTCTGTGTGAAAATGATAGTATTGTAAAACCTTAAATTTTACTGTGACATCAACATTTCAAACATTAAAAAAGTAAATCTAAACAATTCTAAGGTCCTGACATCAGTGATAGAATAAACAAATTGCGGTATACTCACACAATGGAACACAACTCAACAATAACAATAAAAAGTTAGGGGTAATGAACAACTGAATAAAACCTAAAGAAAAAATGCGCAAAAGGAGGCACAATGATATACATACTGTGCAATTCCATATATAACACGAAATACATATGTATACATGCACATTTATATTTCAACATTAGGCATAATTATATTACTGTTTAGGAATGTGTGATTAGATGGTACATGGTATAAGTAAATGTAAATACTTCAGTATTCAAGACAGTGGTTTATTAGAGGAAGGCTGCTGTAACTGAGAAGGGCGATATGGAATTGGGGCTTCTGAAATGCGGGCAATATTCTATTTCTTGACAGGTGAGGTTATATAACTTTGATAATTATGTAGTTGAAGTTTTATATTATATTTTCAGTGTTTATTATATTCCACTATAAAAAAGATTTTAAAAATCTAGCTCTACAGTGCTAGAAATCCTCAGTACAAGCTACTTTTCTTCTAGGGCAAAATTAGGTAGCAAGGTGTTTATAAATCTGTAACAATATAACAATGACAAGTATATTACAAATTTAGGGGATGGTACAGAAAGATAAAACCCTCAATTAGCTCTTCAAAAAAATATTTCTTCTCACATATGTATGATAAACTAAATGTATTTAAAACTCAGCCAGCATTATTATTTCTCTAAGACCCGACAAACTGACCCCTCAGGGCAATCAAAAACACATTCAAAAAATATTTTTATTTATTTATTTTGAGAGAAATGAAGGGAAGGAGAAAATAAGGAAAGAATCATACACCCCTATCTGGGGACCTGGCCTCAGCAACCCAGGCATGTGCCCCTGACCTTTTGTTTCATAGGCCAGCACTCAATCCACTAAGCTACACCAGGGCTCAAAAATACATAAAAACAAACAAACAAACAAACAAACAAAAAAAAACCCTAACATATAACCAAGTTACCAAAAGAAGCAGGAAACAGGGTTATCTATTTTTATTATTATATAGATTTTGACAATGGCAGGCTAATTCTGTGACCAATAACTATAAAGGTAACTTTCCAATTCTATTATCTTCCTGATCAAGGTAAAATTTAAAAAAAAAATCCCTCCCTTAATGGTCCAGCTCTGTCATGTTGTTTTTGGAAATTGCTTCTAAAAGTTCAGCCTGTAGTCTATTTCTTCAACTCCCAATGTAATGATTTGTCTATCCTCTTTCTGCTCAAACTAGTAAAAATGAGTTCTATTACCTTAAACTAAGAACCCGAATCAATACAATAACTAATATAGGAGAAGGGGTGCTGAAATAATAGAACCACTAAGTCAAACTGTCACTTCATATACCTTGAAAGGAAGATCCTACAGAATTAGGAGATAACAGAAAGAAAAGATGATTTGAGAGGGACTTGACTGTGCATTACTTGTTGTGGCACCCATCCCAAAACTGGGATAGGAAATGTCAAATAATTGTTCAATACTAATAAATTTCAGGCACTATCATAAAATTTGTATTTCTAAACAAAACAAACCAAAAACCTTATTATTAATCATACAGTAATTAAAAAAAAAAACCTGTGCTCTTCAAGGTTATAGGATTTATCTATGCTCATAGATAGTCATGCCTGACCTCAACGCCAAAGCACAATTTCTTTATTATCTGACACCATCTCCCCTCCAAGTATGAACAGCCTTAAGAGTTTTTTGATTTATACCAATGTACATAGGATTAGAAATCTACATGATATTTCTAATCTGGAAAGTTACCTTTTTAGATACTGGTCCCAGAAGTAGCCTCCTGTTATCAAAAACCTGTATAATATGAAAATGGATATCCCTGTGCCCTGCTTCTTCTGTATAACTTGGCTATATGTTAGGTTATTTTATTTAAATGTAGTTTTGTATAAAAACTTTTTTAAGAAAATCTTTTTTATTTAAATGTGTTTTTGATTGGTCTCAAAGAGAGAACCACTTTTGTACTTGGTAGAAACACACAGTAGTCTGTAAGTATCAACAAGGTAATGTAAAGAATGCTCACTGACATGAATTTACTGAAGGGCAAGGAAGTATGACAGATGCCACTCAAAGGACTATAAAGGAAGAGACAGGATATGGTTAAAGGAAATGTAGAAAATATTCTCTAAGAAAGTTATTAGGACAGGAGTTAGAGGGAACAATGAGCACAGACTAGGCAGTAGGACGGTGGCTGAAGAGTGGTCAAATAGATACTAATGAACAGCATTAAAAAAGTACAGGTGACTCTGGGACTGTATACCTAAGCCAGTGGCTGGGAAAGAGATGGCAAAGGGAATAAAGATTCAAGGAAGGACAAGGAATAAACTGGCCTCTAAATTTTGTGTTCAACTTAAAAAAAACTGGGAGTCATCAACAGAAAGAACCTCTGGTGTCTCTCTGGGCCTTGATTTGACTAGTCACAGAAAAATTAGTCTGCACTTTGGCCACTCTGGGATAAAGCCTCAGGTGTCTTCTATCGCTACCAGAGATGAGTGGCAACAGTTCCTGCTAGTGACCATATACTCCTCCTATCATGAGGTCATTTCTCCATTTCCCCTCTTTATATTCCCAAGAGATAAAGATAAAGCAGCTGACCCAAAGAAAGCACTCAACACAATTTTTGAAAAATTAAATCTGCAAAGTTGATACATTTTTCAGTAAGATACATTTTTAAAGAATGTACCTTGATATGTCTTGCCATCTATTTCAACCTCATAGGATTCCATAACTTCTTGGATGGCCTCACCAACATCACATAGACGGACATCAATTCCAGCACACTAAGGATGTAATAATGTATCCTGTTACTCAAAGCGCAGAATTTCACAGCAAGTTAACTCAATATTTTAAAATAAGGGACAATTAGAAAAACTGCTTTGTACATTATAACTTCCTCTATAAACACCTTTAGTACGTTATAATTATCCACTTAAAACCCGAAGGGCGGTGGACTAGTTTCACATAACTGAAAGACCTTAAACAACTTATAATGTGCTTCACAATATGTTGAATGAAAGGACACTTATGGTTCACATACCTTTATTCCAGTGTTAGTGGCATCTTTTACAGCTTTTAATAATGTATCATATTTGGGATTAAAAGTGACAGTAAAAGCACAGTCAATAATCCTACCTGAAAAAAAAATTCTTAAGTTTATTTATCAGCTAGTCAATTTATCCCCTTTATAGCACCTACTCTATTGATTATCCTTGCTAATTAACAGGAAAATGAAATAATGGGCTTAAAAGAAAGTAGCACTCCAAGTACCCACAGATAGCATTCATAGCTAAAGGGGGAAAAGTACAATAAATATAAAGGTTTTAGAATGAAAAAATTCCAGGGGTAGTATCTATTACTTCAAGAGAGCACTAATTCAGTACTCACCGAGGCAGTTATGCAAAAATATAAACAGAAACAAATCAAATGAGTAAAGCCTGGGAACCTAAGAAATAGCAATGCAGGCAAAGAATATGTGTAGGTCCACAGGATGCTGACCATCAATCAGTCCAGCTTCTTCAATTTAGTAAAAGCTCAGGTAAGTACTCAATTTAAGCTTTGCTTTCTCACCCGTTAAGTGAGATAAAAAGGTACTTATCTAACAGGCATGGGGGCAGGGTGGATTTAGAAACGCTAACAAAGTTGGTAAACTTAAAGGCTCTAAGTAAATGTTTCTTATTAAATGAATAAATGATATCTGAAATATTGACCTAAAGAAATATAAGATTATATTTTTCATGCCCTGATACAAAGGATAAACTTCAATTATCTGAAAGTTTTCATTATACTCCATTTAGTAGGATGCTTTAGTAGGATGCTTTAAAGCAAATCCCAAAATCTGTTTCAGTACAGCTCTACTGAAAAGTAAAGCATCAAGAAAAAATGTGGGGAGTTCAGTAAACTATAACCCCATGCAACAGAGATAAGACTAGTTTTACAGAAAGAAAGTGGGATGGAAATTATTTCCAAGAACTCACCACTTATATGTGTTCCAAAGTCTATCTTACAGATATCATCATACTGTAATACTGTTGTGTCACCAGCATTGGGAGTATAATGGGCAGCACAGTTATTGAGAGAACACCCAGTAGGAAATGCCAGGCCTGCATTTAATCCATTTTCTTTTATTAGCTTTCGTGAACAATCTTCCAACTTTTCACTAAAAAAATAAAAAGATGTTTACTTTTACATTTTATATAAAGTATAACCTTATATATTTTACAGCTCACTGTGTTCAGAAAGTTAACCAAAATTCTAAAATTACTTTGTGGGAGTGATCTGTGGACTTTCTGAATGTGATTAACAGTTCTCTGAAGCTATGAAAATACTAACTCATCTCTGAAAAACTTAATTCCACTAGAAATCTAGAGAAGCTAAATGATGTGGCTTAGTTTTCTAGAAGTTAACATTCTTGACTTAGACTAATTTAAATGCTGATTACATTTTCCCTCAACATTGCATATTTTGAAATATGAATCAAGAGAATTAGGTTACCTTTCACTGCTAATTATTTCTCAAGGGGAGAACTGGAGAAATAACTACTTTTACTGGTTTCTTCATTGCATTATAAATGTGTTCAAGAATTTTGATGTAATATGAACTGCTAGATAGCAAAATAACAGATTTTAGAAAATAAAAATCAAAATAACAGATTTTAGAAAATAAGAATCAATAATGTGTGCATTTGCACATTTGAATGTACATGAGTACAAAATAGGATGAAGTACAAATATCTTCTAATAGTTTCCTCATGACATCAACATTACAAGAATTTAGAAGGTATTTCTAGAATCTTCCTTTAAAGTTTTAGCAAAGTAATAATGAAAGACAAACATTACAATGGAAAAGTCAGCTCTAAGAACAAAATTGTTTTTTTAATGTTCTTAGAAAAACATATTTACCAGATTTCTATCATTGACATCCCAGGCTTGATCCAGCTCATAACATATTTTCGAACTTGTCGGTGTGCTTCTGCAGCTTCTCGAAAATCATTCCAAATCTCTTCACTAGCTTGATCTAACACTTTCTTTTCTTCACTTGTAGTTCTCCAAGCAGCTGTTCGCCTTTATAGTTTGTAAAGCATAGTATTAATTATTTAAGAAACAGCATAAGCATAAAAGCTGAAAGAGATAAAAATACTAATATACAACATTCTATATAAAAATATTACGTATTCAGTTTCTTTCATTAAATGCCAAGATAACTTCTGAATACAAGTAGTCAAACACTTGCAATCAAGCCAATTCATAACAAATATTTTCTAAAACTTAAAAAAAAAATCTTCAAGTGCAATTTCATTCATAGTCGAAGGGAATAATACCATGCCACAGAAAATAACACAAAAGAGGACCAGGAAAGTCAGAAAAGAGTATTAGATAACAAGCATGTGGGAGAAAAAAGTCATCCTTCCACTCGTGGGAACATAGTCATATACTTTAAGAGACTTCAAAAGAGCCTACACCAAAAATTAACATTTAATGTTACGAACAGGGCAAGTAATAATACAAAGACTTGACCTGGAAATCTGCATCTACCTTCCTCAAAACATAAAATATTATGGCTTTGCAGGAGTTTTCTAATTGTATATATGAGAGGTAATCTTCCTTGAAGGACATGGCTCACATTTTAAAATTGCCATGAGTAACAAAAAGATTTTTATTTTCAGTATCTGAGAATGGAGATCCACTAATTCCCTTTAAGCAGTATATTTTGAAAGTAACAACTATTTCCAAGTAAAAGTTTTTTAAAAAGTTGTTACAGCCCTGGCCAGTGGCTCAGTTGGTTGGAGCATCATCCCGTATACCAAAAGGTTACGGGTTTGAGTCCCAGTCAGGGCACATACCTAGGTTGTGGGTTTGATCCCAGGTCAGGGAAAGTACAGGAGGCAACCAATCGATGTTTCTCACATCAATGTTTCTCTCTCTCTCTCTCTCTCTCTCAAAAAAACAAACAATAAATATATCCCCAGGTGAAGATTTAAAAAAGGTTGTTATACTTTCACATATTCTTAAGAAATAAAGAATATATAGCCTGCAACTCAGTGATCACTGAGATAAATTATACTTAGTACAAACATGATGCCTTCAAGGAATTACTCTGATGGCCTCAAAGTTAGTGGCTAGCTAACTATGGCCTGCAAGCAAATCCAGCCTGGCACCTATCTGTAAATAAAATTTAACTGCAACATGGCTATACCCACTCATTTACATACTGTGTTTTGCTTCTTTCTTGTTACAACAGCAGAAGTGATTAACAGTCAATGACTGAAATATTTACACTATGGTCCTTTTCTTAGAAGTTTACCCCACTGCTCTAAAATACAGAACTGTATTTTAAGGTCCCAAAATGCTTTCTGAGTTTTTCTGCATCTCACTATCAAGTTCATTATGATTACTTTCTACTGCAGCAGCTACCTATGTGTCAATACTTAGCACCTCTGAAACTGCTACAAAGACCCAAAGGAGCTGTCCTGTATGAACTAAAGCATTACAGAAACTTCTCTGGCCTGTTTTCTGCTTGGGAATGTATTTTGGATTTATCAACTGATGTTATCAGATAACCAAAATATTACAGTACCATCCATTTAAGGTCAGTTTTAAACTCCATAAGTACTCAAATGCATATAAATTACTATTTCAGAAATAGTGAAAACACAAGAGGCAACTTCTAGTCAAAGTAGTCACACAAATTCTCTCAGACTAGAGGGTAATAGGATAAGATCCTTAAAAAGTATATTCTGAAGATGGGCTCAACCTTTTTCAGCTGCACTACACTTATATCGATCACTCCATGGATTTTCAGAACTCTAGTTTTAACTACAGTCCTTCTTTCTTCCATGAACACAAAAATCTTTCCTGGGAACCAAGAACCCTAATATTCTAAGAATAAGTACTGGTTATATTCTCAGATTAGTTTTTAAACAAAATACATCACAATTCTTTAACTTTTACACGCACCATAATTCTGACAAATATACTACAGCCATAGCTGGTAGTAAATGCTGATGCAACTCTGCCTCAGAAGCCAGAGATTTTGTGAAATTAAAATATCAGCCAGTATTTACTGTAGAATGGCAAGACGAAAGACTGTCCACAGGGACCTGACAGATGTGGTCAGGTTTTTCAAATCCACTTCTTTAATTACAATTAATTAATTTCACACGCTACTTGACAGTATTTTAGAATCAGAACATGACACAATGAAGATCCCTAATACTGAAACCAGCAGATACTGCATGAATATCTCATTTCTGAAGGCTGACTCTCAGAAGCAGTGAATCCTACAAAATATTATGAAATGTTCTGCATTGTTGGTAAAGAACTACCAATCAGAAATTAAAGACATTCTGCTAAGTCTTGAGTTCAAACTGAAAGTCATTAGCAATATTTGAGAAATGTATTATAATAATACCAGAGTCTATAATCATAATCCCAGGCCCAAAATAAGACAAAGAATGTTATGGAGTCTGTTGTTCTTTTGATGTTCACTCTATTTAACAAAAATATAGAATAAGATGAAAAAATATTCTGAGCTCATAGCAATTATTTCAAAAGACAATTCATCCAACTGACAGAGGAAGGTTAGAAGTGCTTTCAAAATATATTATGTCTGTAAAACAAAACTGTCAAAGCGACTACTTGGAAAAGACTCACTATAGAAAGTATTTACAAGTATGTAAATTCTTCACACTTTTTTGATATTTCTGAAGTCTTTTCAATATTCCATCATTTTTACCAATGGAAGTATTAAGAGCAGAAAAATAAAACCAAAAGATACAAAGGCACCTGATTATTAATTTCAAACAGTCATAAACATTTCTAAACTCACTACATGGACAACCTGAAAGATAATTATATTTGTATGTACAATACTTTTTAAAGCACTATATGCCACATTTATAAAATCTATTTTAAAATGCATGTTAACACCAAAATAATTAAGAGTGCTTGTAGATAGATACATCACTAATTTCTTACTCTGAAAACTGGAACTTAAAAAGGAATGACATAATTAGAAATTCACTGTATCGTGGTCCCAAATAAAATAACTGATAAAGCAAGGATCATCAATGAATATTAAAACAGTTAAGTGAAAAGTTGTTGAAGACAACATTCCCATGGTACCAAAGTATCCCAGAGACTGCATGATAACCACAAAAACAAAAAAGGACTCTAAAAAAAAAACCAGAGCTGGTAGTCACATTAACCTAGTGATCAAATATAGGTAAACTAATAACCTGAAATTACATCTGATGAACAGATGATTATGATATAATACGAAACATTTAATATCACTTATAATATATCCTGGTCAAATGTGTTTACTCTAATTCTAATCTAACCCTTTACAACTAATTTCAGTTTACAGAAAATACAGAAATAGAGAAAGGACAACACACACCAAAAATAACAACTGGAGAAATCCCAGAATGTGAGATTTAAAAAATTACCTGGCCCCAGCTATAGGCAACTGCCTAGGTTATCTTGTACCTAGGCAAGTGTTCCACTGCTGGGAGAACAGCAGCCAATGGCTGGTTGGCATTCTGGGCCTGGTTCATGCCAACACTGTTGTTAATTATACCAGATGCCAGCATACTTGGAAAAAAAAAATTACCTGGTCTAGTCAAAAAGTCAGTGCAATGGAAGAGAAGAAGGTGTGGATTTTAACCATGTGCAATGAATGTATGAACCTTGACTGAATCCTGGCTTAGTGAAGAAAAGAAAAAAAACAAAAACCTAAAAAGATGTTCCAGGGACAACAGGAAAAAAATTTTGAAATATAAACTAAGTATTTACATGATTCTGGGAAATTACTGTTAACATGCCTAGTTGTGATACTTTACAGAAAGTTTAATTCTAGGGACATGCTTGAAGTTGCTATTCATTCTGGGTAGTGAACTCACTACCTTTCAACCTTTCTCTTTGTAATTCACTATAAAAGTTGAAAACAACAAAAAAGATATTTATTCCAACTTTGTTTATAATAGTAAACAACTAGAAATAAATTGTACGTCCTAATAAGAGAGGACTGGACAAATTATGCTATGCACACAGATATACAAAACTGTTTAGCCAATAGAAATACTGTTGGCTTCTTTACTAACATGAAAGCAAATTTTAAGAGAGTGCTGCTGCAGGACAGCTCTACCTTGAAAAAGAAGTCTAGGTATTTATAACAGACATTTATAGACAGAGGCTTTAAAGGGAAAAATATTAACACGTTAACAGTGGTTTTATAATTCACTGACAGAATTAAGGTTTTCTTCTTTTTGCTAGTATCTGTATTTACTAACTGCTCTATAATGACTATGTATGCTTGTAAAATTAACATTTTGCCCATAAAATTGTCTATCAAATTTATAAACAGACATTAAGAATTTCAAAATAATTCTTTATTCTACTTCTAGAGATCCAGAATAGAAAAATCAGACCCAATTAACATACTACAATGTTCATCACAGAAATTATCCTAATGATAAAATACTGAAAGTATAAATATTCAAAAATAGGAAAATGATAAAATTTGCTATATACAAAATAAAACAGCATTACAGCCAATAAAAATTGATTTCAAAACCTTTTAATAACACAGGAAATGCACATAAATTGGGTTTTTTTTTTTAGTATTTTATTTACTTTTTAGAGAGTGAGGAAGGGAGGGAGAAAGAGAGGAAGAGAAACTTCAATTGGCTGCCTCTCAACTGGGGACCTGGCTTGTAACCCAGGCATGTGTCCTCACTAGGAATCGAACTGGCAACCTTTTGGTTTGCTGGCTGGCACTCAACCCACTGAGCCACACCAGCCAGGGCAGAATGTTTTTTGTTTTAAAAGGGCAACAACCATCATAGTTAAAACTGATCTAGACAGAGAACATCAATGGATGCTACATGTAAGGAGGACATTCATAAAAAATGATATTTTCATATTCACAAGGTAATTTTCTACAAACTAGTAATTACAAGAGGAAAAATAGTATTGATACACTACAAAAACTGAATACCTTATCCAAGTGATAAAAAATGATATCATGTGCCTCCAGATGTGACAACCATAAAAAGGACACAATACCTACTTATCTAGTATCCCATCCAAAAATGTACAACCTACTCTCAAATACTTCAGACAAAAAGAGTATGTATACAGATTCACCAATACAACATTTTCCACATTTCCCTTATACCTTCCAAGGCGAAAATGAAATGCTATTTCATAATATGTTTAATTGTCATAGTCCACTGACAGAGGGAACAATAAAAGTGGCAAAATGTTAAAGAGACTGAGCAAAAGGTATGCAGGAGTTTTTGTGCTATGCTCACAGTATGGTATTCTTCTTGTTACGTATGAAATTACACAACTGACAAAATCAAAAGTTAAAATAGTGTACTCAACATGGGTGGTAGTTACACATGTGAGTTCTTTGTGATAATGCATGCAATTTTCAGTTTATTAAAAAAAAATGATGAGGGCAAGATACAGAACTATGTATTTAATATTTTACCAAATCTGTAAGAATATTTATTTTCATCTACTTGCAAATAGTTAAAACTGGTTATACGAGTGTCAAAAAATATTGAGATTTGTGGAAAAGCAAACATAACAATACATTACCTTCTTTTACATTTCTCTAGGACAGCCAACTGCATTGCTTTCAATATTTAAGAAAACACTCTGTCCACGTAGCTCAGTTGGTTACAGCGTTGTTCCAATACACCAAGGTTGCAAATTCAGTCCCAGTCAACAATGAACCAGGGAGTGCATAAATAAGTGGAACAAATCTATCTCTCTCTCCCCACTCCCACCTCTAAAAATCAATAACTAAAAATTTAAAAAATAATTTAAGTAGATATTGTGACACATATCTTCTTTTACTGTTTCAAAACCAGAAGTTATTCTACCTATATGTTCAACTTGTAATAGAAAATAACAAAGACAGTTTTTAAGACTGAAAAAAATCTGTTCCTCTTGTATTAAATATTACTTCAAATGTTCCATCATTCCACCAATTCACAGTATTAAAAATATTAACAATCTGTTAAAACTATAGGAAATCAACAGCTTTCCTCCACTTTAGCAAAAACCATACAGAAATAGAACTAGAAATAAGAATTCCTTGTTCGCATCAGTAACAATATCAGAAAACACTTCAGAATGAATTTAATGTGGTTGCTTTGGCAGAGCATATAATAGGACCTACCTAAAAAAACCAAACAAAGAGTAAGTGGGAATATACACCACAACACTAGGTAAGACAATGTGACACAATTGTTAATTTTCTGAAACACATTAAGGCAATTCTGATGAGAATTCTAACAAGGGCATTTCTCTGTGGGTATGTATATGAAGATTTTATGACTGAAAATGTTAATAGCTAAGAAAAATACAAAACACAACTGTGTTTGGGCATGTGTGGCAGAGGAGAAAGACTGCCTTATAAAATGATCAAAACAGTGTAAAGTTTGATATCAAATCAAACTAGTATTAGCATAGGAATAGACAAATAGTTCAAAGGAACAGAATAATACAAAAATTGGTTCCATTATACAATACATGAGACTATACAGTTGACCCATAAACAACATGGGGATTGGAGGACCAACCACTGAGCAATCAAAAATCCATGTAAAACTTCAGTCCACCCTCTGCATATACATATTCCCAAATGGGAGCAGAAACATGTAATTCCACCGTATGAGAAAATAGTAAGTGGCAAGGTAGTCATCCAATTGAGTAGGATGAATTAAAAAACAATTCTAACAGAAGTAGCTATCCATTTGGAAATAAAATCAGTGCTCATACCCTTACAAAGAAAATTCCAGATCAGTTAAAAACGTAATGAAACAGCCCTGCACAGCCCCAACCAGTGTGGCTCACCAGATTGGGCATTGTCCCACAAAGAGAAAGGCTGCCAGGTGATTCCCAGTCAGGGCATGTGCCTGGGTTGCAGGCTAGGTCCCTGGTTGTGGGCAGGCAAGAAGCAACCAATTGTTATTTCTCTCACACAATAATGTTACTCTCCCTCTCTTTCTCCCTCCCTTCCTCTCTCTCTAAAAATAGGTAAGTAAAAATTCTTAATAAATGTAGTAATACACAGAATAAAGAGTTTGAGAAAATCTAAGACTGCCAGGAACCCAGAATTATAAAATATAAACATATACTGTACTTAAATATTTAAAACTTCTGGAAGAGCAAAAGAACAAAGCCACCAAGCAAAAGATGCTCAAAATCACTAGCCGTCCAGACAACTCTTCTTATAATGAAGAATATTACACTATTCTTTAATTCAGCAATCTGCAATTGCTGAATTGCTGAATTACGTTCCTAGAAAACTGTCACACAATAAAACTACCAACACATAAGCAGATGTGTGTGTGTGTGTGTGTGTACATATTTATGGAGAGAGATATTTATTGTAGAACGGTTCATAATAGCAAAAAATCAAAACAATCTCCCTACACAGGCAGACATAATTTACACATGTATGAGCATAGAGAAATATGGAAAGCTACCTGCTAGGTGCTTACACAGGTCTGGAAGGAAGTAAAAGAAGAGGGAACAAGCAAAAAAATTAAAAATTATATTTAAAAATAAATGTGATCACATATGTACTATGAAAATTCATGTAACTACTATAAAATTATGTGTCTGTGGCATTTTAAAAATTGATGCTTCAAGATAGGAATACTGAATGATGAGTTCAATTAAAAGAAAAATGCACATTCCATAAAAAACCCTGTTAACTTTATAGACTTATTCCCTAAGAGTACTGGAAATGAGGAAGGTGGCAGAAATATAACAGCATCATGTTCTTTTCTGAGTTAAAAGAAAAACAATGCTGCCTTTACAGGTCAATGAAACAATGCCACAGTAGAAGCTTTCTTAACCAACTATTGCAACCACTCAACAAACCAATGCTCTCGATTCCCTCTATAAAATGCACTGACCAATGCCCACTGTATTCTGAGTATTGGTGGACAACCGTTTCCTACTCTGAGTAATAATGGCAGCTAACACTTAATGATTACTATGTGTCACTCTTCTGGGTGCCTTACACATATTATTCCTCACAATAACCTTATAAAGTGCCTTTTTAATGGATGAGAAAGCACAACGAGAGACATGATAAATCACTTGCCCAAGTCAAAACTAGTAAGTGTTAGAACTGGGACTTAAATGCAGACAGTTTAGTCCCAGCTTCCATGCTCTTAACCAGTCCACATAATGCTACCATGAGTGTCTGCTGACCAGAACACTTCCCAAGAAATCAGGTGATTTGCTCCCAAACTTGTGTAAAGTCATCTGTATTTACTACTCTAATTATGTAATTTAATTAAATATTACATGAAAGTAACTGTTTCTAAGAAAACTAAATTGACTACTCAGAAAAATCTCCATAAAGGCAAGTCATCAAAAAATACTTGTCAAATTAACTGAAGAATTATAAATGGTTTCAGGGAAAAAAATGTGAAGATATGAATAGGTATCAGCCCTCGGATTACTTAGTTCTTCACAGAAACTCAATATGGAGCAGACTCATAGATGAGGCATTATGTATAGCTTATGAAGGAAAAAGTGGAGTTCAATGCAAATTCATGTTCAAAAATGATGAAAAACAAATGTTTAAGTTAACTTTTATCAATAAATTTTTACTTTTCATGATCCTCACTTTAACATATTTTTTTAAATTAAACTACTGGTCCCAATCACTTTGGATAAGAGGGCTTCTACTGTATTTTCTCTGCAACAAATTAACAAGCTTTATTAAGGTAGTGAAGCAAGTTCTGAGAAAATTCGAATCTACTTTATTGCAAGGCTACAACTTTCAAGTCAAACTGGAAGTTATTTCATGTCCTTACCCATCTTGTGTGGGTGGGTACTCGCATTCTTGTCCTTTGGGAAATACACCATTAGGATACAGGTCACATACTGGAACTGAGGGAGGGTCAGTCTGAACTTTTGCTGTGAGATACAAATAAAGCATTAACTTCTATAGTTAAAAATAAAATTAAGCAATCATTACAGTTTTTCTCAGTTCCTAATGGTTATAATATATCCTGATTTTAACAAACCTCTTGTGTCGCCTTATAGTTAAAAACCCCATGCTGGTCACCTCCTCAACTGAGTTACTATAGCTTGGGAATAAAAATATTCAATTCCTCCCTGGCCGGTGTGGCTGTTGGGTGTTGTCCTGCAAAATAAAAGGTCACTGGTTCTATTCCCAGTCAGGACACATGTCTGGGTCACAGGTTCAATCCCAGGTCACTGCACATGCAAAAGGCAGCTGACTGATCTCACATAAGTGTTTCTCTACCTCTCTTTCTCTCCCTCCCCTCCCCTCTCTCTAAAAATAATTAATAAATAAAACCTTTAAAAAAGTATTCAATTCCTCAGGATTCCATTATATATTTAAACAGTATATACCTGGGCAGAAAGTACATTTATATTGTTTTTGTCTTAATTTACTATACTGGAAAAGAAATAGCATATAGAGGCTGACTTTCACAAATAAAAATCAAAGAAGCAACAAGAAAATAAAGAATCTTACAGCAATAAAGTAAAAATGTAAAGCTATTATATATTAATAAAAACAAGTTAGCAAATGTATTTCAAAGATATATTAAGTATAAAAGTTAAGAGTATACATACCCTCTAAAAGATTTTAGGTAGCAATACACAAATTTCCAGATACTTGAAAAAAGTTAACAATATCTGGCATACGTTTTAAGGATGTTATTTCCCAAACTATATTGTAAAACACCAGTGTTTCAAGATGCTTTTAAAAAGTACCTTACAATTTTTTCCCCCAAATATGTAAGAACTAGCTGTATAGTTCTTATTGTATGAAGAACTGCCTTTTAGGAACAAATGCTGTATTCGAGAAATGCCAGGAAGTTGTACAGGTTATTTTATGACTTTCAACATGTGCTGAAGCATTTACCAACTAAGTTGAAGTACATGGTTTCTTTTTGATTATTACTGATCTTATGTTACTGATTTTTTGTCTTAAATGTTAAGGAACACATATTTTGCTATCACATATATAAATAAAAATGTGATTGTTTATTGAGCAAAATCATTTACATATAAAACAATTTTTTTGGCTTCCTCCTTTAACCCAAATGCTCAAAATCGTGAGCACCAACTGGTTTAAGTGTTCTATGGGCAAGTAAACTTGAAAAACACTGTTTTAGGTTCCTCCTAAGAGAGACCATTAGAATTTAAATTTTTTTTAAAATTATATTTGGAGGTCATCTAATGTAGCTTCACATTCAAATTTAAGAATTCTGTTTTAAACTTCTGACATTTGGCACTGAGCTCCTGACAATTAAGGCAGCCACTATCTCCCAAGCTAAATCCATTCATTTAGCTGTAACTGTTAGAAAGCTCTTTCTATATTAATCTGTTTCCCTGTTCATGTCATGTTAGTTCTAGATTTATTCTTTGCAGTCAAAAATATTTTACTTTTCATTTCTACTAATTCCATCCCTTCTATGAGAAATCACTTTAAGAGGTATTGTTCTTAGCACTTTCACCCATATTTGCCACCTTGCATTTGTCAATATTCCTTTTATAAGTTGGTACTAGAATTATCTTGTATTAATAGTCCAACAAGGTATAATTAATGTGAGACTATACTGCTGATTCTAAATATCCTACTGCTATTAAAAAGTCAAGACACCTTGCTTTTTGGTTACTAATGTACTAAAACTCAAATCCTTAGGATTCTTCACCCTATATTAACTTTATATATGTCTACTAAATTTCAGCTTGTTAATATTAGCCAATTGATCTTTTGAAACATTTTTTGTGAACCAAAGTATTATCTCATCACCCTCAGCTTTATCTCATCTACAAATGTGATAAAGATGCATTTTATATCATCTACAAATTAAAGGACTTCAAAAGATCACTAAAGAAAAAAACAATCTGTAATCAACATAACAGAGTTGAAGTACATACAGTCTTTACTACTTATTAGCTGTGACTTGGGCAAATGGCTAATGTGCCAAGAATCAGTTTCCTCATCTACAAAATGAAGAACCAGAAGAAATTTTGGATGACCTTTGAAAATTACAAGGTACTATATTCTATTATCTAAAACTATGAGCAACTGTAATAATCTGTACTGTAGTTATCATGAACTATTATTTATAATTCCCACTTTACAGATGAGGAAAACAAGGGCCAATATACATTACTTGGCTTACTTATCCCAGAAGTTATTTACAATAGCCTCCAAAAGTATACCTAAAAGACACAGATAAGCGGTAATCAAGTAAATTAGAGAGCAAAAAAATCAAACATGGAAAACGTAGAACCTGCAATAAAGCCAACACAAAATCAAGGATTTGGCTCTAAGCCTTCCAGGATCAAAAACAAAACAAAAACAAAAAACCCCTTCTAGTTTATTTGCACAGTTCATGACTTTTCTGAGCTAAAACACAATAACTAGTACAGAAAAGCACAATTATTCTTGATATTAAGACCAGACAAAAGAGAGCAGTCTCTTGAGAGTGCCCTTACAGAAATATAATGAACAAGTCTGACAATACCCTCAGAGGAGGCACAGTAAAGGCTGGTGACATCATGCTAGAACACCTGTCAGTAGAAGACTTCTACCAAAAGTAAACACAAGGCAGCACCTTAACACCCCTCCCTGCTTATCTACCTTCATTAGGGAATAATTTTAGATTATTTAGAGAAATAGGTTGTCTCTTAAGCCATTCTTAGGTAATATCATGTCTTACAGGCACGCTTTTAACAATTTTTGAATGGAAGAAATACAACATTATAATTTTTAGAAGAGTCCCGGAATGCAAGTAACCTATGTTTATTAACTAGACTATGCTAGGAACAGAATGACATCCCTAAGAGTAGAAGGATCTAACACAAATAGGTCCCTGAACAGAAAGATGGCTATCCTACCTCTACCTGGAGACATATTAGAGAAATGAATGGCGGAGCCACTATCTTTCTGAAACAATAATTTAAGTATTTCTCTCAACACAGAGATAACATGGGAAGTCAGGCCTCCAATATTCTGATTCATAAAATTCTAGCCTGAAAGATTTTAAAGGAAGTTATAATCAGAACTCAGTGGCCCTCAATAGTGCAAGGGGCCTCCAAGATTAAAACTGTTCTGATTCTCAACCTAACCTTTACTCCCCAATACTATGAAGTCTTCCCCCTTGGTCTCCCTAATAGTTTTAGGTCCCTGAAGATGTTTGGTCATGCCATTTGTAAAAACAGAATACAGCAGGATCATATTTTAAGTGAATCTGAAATAGTATAATATAAACATTTTAAAATAAAATTACACCATATGCACAAATTTTAAATAATGAGCTTCCTCTTTCAATATTCATCGAAAATTCCATATTTCAAAGCTGGCAGGTGAACTGCAAATTTTGCTTACCCTATTACCACACAGTGGTACTTTAGTCATCCCCAACAGGCTTATTTGAATTATTCAAGATTTAAATTATAAAGTTTTTAGGAACTCATCCCTAACTTGCAAAAAACGCAACCAACTTATTATTAACATCCCTTAGCTGAATATCAGCTTTAAAAAATGCCACCAAAATTGTTAAACCAAAATAGTCATGAGTTTCACTAAATCCTACCTCTTATAAGCCTAAATGTATTTCTCTAACCTATATCAGGATCTTAAGCAACTTCAAACCTCCTCTTTCAAGCCTACTGGTTAATAACCACTTCTAATTTGTCAAGTAAGATTAACTTAAGACACTAACGTCCTCTCTTCTTCTTCTTCTTTTTCTTCTTCTTTTCAGCTGCTCCATCTCCATCACCATCTCCATCTAAGAAAAGACATTTTCAAATACCTATTTATTTAAACCTCATAAGCAGAGGGATGAGGCAAGCACAAGTGGACAGTTGTATATACACACACACTGCATCTTGAATAGCATATGACAAAGTTGACCTAATACTCTTAGTATTTTTTACACCGCTAGCTTTAAGTATCAGAATTTTACTTATGTAATCAAAAGCACTACTAAACTTTAGTTGGACTTACTCTAATAAAAGAAATGCCAAATAAGATATTATTAAGAAGAAAAAATGTGCCCTGACTGGTATGGCTGAGTGGGTTGGTCATTGTACTGCTGGCTAAAAGGCCATAGGTTCAATTCCCAGTAGATGCCTGGGTTGTGGGCCAGGTAAATGGCAGAACTGAACTAAGAACATGTTAAGTGATCCCTAAACCAGAGTGGGTATTTGGGAAGGGTCTCACATTTTAAAATATCGTTTCCTCCTACACAGTTATTACTAGAGAAAGTGTTCTCTTTCTGGGTCAAATTGTATGCAAAAATTGAAGGGCATACTATATTTTTCCTAGTTCCAGAGCGTCTCAGATTCTCTGATATGCAAAAGTGAAGGTTAAGAACTACTGTGAGAAATAGTTGGCAGCCCTGGCTGGTGTACCTCTGTGGACTGAGAGCCGGCTAGTGAACCAAAGGATCATCGGTTGGTTTCAGTCAAGGCACAAGCCTGGGTTTCAGGCCAGGTCCCCAGGAAGGGGTGCGTCAGAAAAGCAACCACACACTGATGTTTCCCTCCTTTCCCCTCTCTAAAAATAAATAAATATTTTTTTTAAAAAAAGAAGGAAAAATAGTTGGCAGAAGAATACCCAAAACAGCCAAGATCTGCTTCTCCATGTTTAGAACAATCTTCTATGAAGCCCATGCCCATACCCTTTACCTCTGAGAAATGATAGTTTTATTATTATTTTATTTTAGAGAGAGGGGAAGTGAGGGAGAGAGGGAGAGAAACATTGATTGGTTGCCTCCTGTATGTGCCCCAGAAGGGGGGCCAAACCTGCAACCCAGGCATGTGCCCCAACTGGTAATCAAACCAGCAAACTTTCAGTCTGCAATGCAGATGCCCCACTAACTGGGGTGATAAAGGATATTATTACAACCAAGATTAAATAGAGACTTAAAAACATTTTATTTTATTTTTTAAAACTTTTAATTATTATTTTTAAAGATTTTATTTCTTTATTTTTTAGAGAAGGGAAAGGAGGGAGAAAGAGACGGAAAGAAACATCAATGTGTGGTTGCTTTTTGTGTGGCCCCAACCATGGACTTGGCCCACAACCTAGCCATGTGCCCTGAATGGGAATCAAACTAGCAACCCTTTGGTTCACAGGCTGGTGCTCAATCCACTGAGCCACACCAGCCAGGGTAAAACATTTTAAATAAAAATATCAAACATAGACCTAAGTGTCTGAATTGCTAAAAATGCTACTTAATAAATTTCAACAATGATTTCTCAAGTATGCTAATGTACCTACAAATCATACCTCTATGAAACGGGTGAATAGGATGCTGTCACAATTACAATTTGACAATTTAATAAAATACCCATATGATATTCTTTAAATGTTTCAACCTAGTGGCAGTAACTCACAACTAGCATCAATAATTTTAGATAGTGAAATCTACACCCATAAAATAACGACAAACATCTGCTTACATTTTCTGCTCAAAGAGCTCCATTTTTATTTCTGAAATGATAGGAGCCATAACAGAAATTCTCTCACCATGCTACCTATTGTATTCTATTATAATTATCACAAAAATTTATAATCATTAGTTTATGCTGACCCCTACTCATCTCTTAAGTTCCTCAAGGATCAGAGAAACCATTTCTTAAATTAAGCATAGTGCCAAGCATGTGGTAAATATACTTGTCTATTCAATAAATTAATGTTCTTTTCTTTTCTTTTGTTTATATTTATTTTTACCTAAAGGAGGAAGAGGAAATAGCAATTTAACAAAGAGGGAGGCAGTATGACCTAGGGCTTTAAATGGGTTGAGTGATAGGATACTGCCAACATTTGACTCACAAAACTGCCAACTTTTTTCGAGCCTTAATCTGTAAAACAGTAAGAACACAGTAGAAACAAATATTGCCAATTTTCTCATTACTAGTTTCTAGATTCAAAAGCAAAGAAAAATATGAAAAAAATTTTGGAAAACACAACCTTCATTTTCCTCATGTGTCATATAATCTGATTTACATATTCCACTATAATTTTAACTGTAACCTTCATTCACCCAATAAATGTTTGCTGAGTTCCAGGCAATAAAGACAGAAGAGAAGAGTAAATAAGATAGTTGTTGCCCTGGATGGTCTACAGTAACCTATTGCATTGCTTTGAATTCATAACCTCCTTTCTTGTTAAGAGTTCAAATATGTTTATAATCTGAAAATCAAAGATAGAATGAACAAGAGGTTTGCTTATGGAAGTCAAAAAGCTAATTATTCCCTTGAACCTTAATAACCTTTTCTAAAAACCAAATTTTGACTGTAAGCTTCTTGAAGGCAGAATGTATCTTTCTAAAGGAAAAACTACTCTGCAACTACTAACACAATAATTAAAATACAGCATATATTTGTTAAGGGTTGAAAGGCAAGAGCCCAAGCTGGCAGTGCCTGAGGCACAGCAGTAGGTCAAAGCAATAGATAACTGAAAATGGGCAATCCTCATTTCCCCTTCTGCCAAAAGATGCTGTAGAATAGTTCTCTTAATCACTTCCCCCACTGTCTACAGATAGCATTGATCACTAGGATTCTAAGAGTTGAATCTAATCCCTTACAGAAATCTAATAGCATCAAAATACCTCAAAGAGCTAGGATCAGGGAATTTATAACAGAGTTCAGAAGGACTCCAATGTATTCCTTTGAGAATGAAAAAAGGTAGCTTTGGTACGGAGAGTAAAAGCAGTAGACTTGGATGGAATCAAGAGCTAAGTTTGAAACTCTGGTTCTATTCTACACATACTAGTTGTATCACATTGGGAAAATCCTGTTAACTATCATTTCCTGAGAAGAGTACCTACTTTATTTGGCTTTGCAAGGGTAAAATGAGCATGCATATGAAAGTATCTTAAAGGAGTGCCTAGTAGATATCAATTGTTCAATAAATGTTAGTTAAATAAACAAGCCCTTCAATTCTACCTTATTAACACTTACCCACTACTTAGCCTTTTACCAAGTACATTTTTAAAATTGAGAACTGTGTTATTTGAGCATCATTCAACATATCCAACTTTTTAAAGAGTTGCTAATAGATTCCTTTTCCTTTTTACCTATGACACTGAGGTTATACTGTCAATTAAGAAAAAAATCAGCCCTGGCTGATGTAGCTCAGTGGATTGATTGCGGACCTGGGAAGCAGAGCATAGTGTTTCAATTCCCAGTCAGGGCACATGCCTGCGTTGCAGGCCAGTTCCCAGCAGGGGATGCACGCGAGGCAAGCATACATTGATAGTTCTCTCCTTCTCTTCCCCTCTAAAGATAAACAAATAAAATCTTTAAAAAAAAAAGAAAAAAATCAGAAAACAATAGGCCATAAGGGCAAATAAGTAGATTTTGTTTAAAGAATGTCATATTTTCTTGCTCTTCTAACCACAAACATCCAATTAGCCATTTACCTTCGTCATCATCATCTCTTTCTTTCTCTTCCAATGCTTGTCTTTCCAATTGTCTTGCTACCTCATCAACTGAAGCTCCTGGTTCTTTATCAGGTTCCTGTTGCCCTGCTGATCAAATATAACAACATAAATCAAATCTAATAAATATACCTTCCCCTTTAGCATAAATTGTAAGGATATTGCAGAGCACACAAGTCCTTTTCTGATAACTGTTTAGAAAACAAAAACATTATACCCTGACTGGCAGGCAGGTCTCCAGTTGGGACATGTGCAAGAAGCAACTGATCAGTGTAACCCATTAATGTTTCTCTTATAAGATGATGTTTCTCTTTCCCTCCCTTCCCCTTTCTCTAAAAATAAATAAGTAAAATCTTTTAAAGAAAACCCAGAGTCATTATTATGAACATAAACAATTTTATTTAATGATAGAGAAGTCTCTCCCAAATCTAAGTAGTACTGTCCATTCAACAAAGTATTTATTACACATTCTCTGTGATATAAGCCTAAAGCTTAAAGTGTGAGTTGGTCCCTATCCTTAAGTAGTTTAACTTTCTAAAGTATTTAACACTTAGACCACAAAAAACACTTTCTTAACCAAACAGGTACTTAAGACAGCCAATAAAATGCTGAAGGCCTCAGTTAAGAAGAGGATTTCTATGAGACTCTGAGGGCTTGGGGGATTCATGAAGAAAGAAGGTGTCAAGTTGGGCTAGGTAAAATCAAAACAAATAGAATGAGATATTCCATTACTAAAAAACAAAATTCTTAAACAGCTAAGCATAAGCTCTGTAAGTGATTAACGATCTAGCTAGAGGAGCAATATGTGTGTAGAAAGATAGTATCACCAGGTAGTGCATAATGAAGTGATATTCTGTTTCTCGTAGAAGATTCATATTAAGATTCATATTCATTTTCAGTTGTGAAAAAGTTGTGGTTAAATTCTGCAGAACATCTTAAAGACCAAACTGAAGAGTTTGGACTTCATCTGAAAGCCAGAAAGAACCATTAGTCTATGTCCTGGGATTAAATTTTATTCTGGAAGTGTCCCAGCACCTACGACTCCCAGCTCATCAAAACTTCAGAAAAATACAGATTAACCCTCCCACCCTCTCTCACCTCCACCCTCAGCACCTCCGGCCTCCCCATTTTTCTCACACTCTTTCTGTGGCTGACTTTAACAAGTACAAATAATTTTTCCTAAAACGAAGGACCACCATGCAACACCACCACTCACTTGTCAAAACAGAACATTTACGTTCCTAACTCAATGCAAGTGTAGATTTTTAACTCTTTCCCTTGACTTCCTAGTGGATTTGGAGAAGTTCCACTCCGAGCCACAGAGTATCGCACCTGGACTGCCCGCAACGGCATCATTCAAGCCTAAAAACCCTAAAGCTTGGTGATGCCGTGTGATGACACAGGTGAGAATTCGCACCACCAACCCAACATTCTGTAATTACAACTCACTGACACAAGCGCGTGGGCACACACACACCCGAAAGTGCAGCCCGTCACAAAAATCCCTCCCTGACCAGGGATGGCGGGGTAAGGCGCGGTCTAGGCACTTGGACTTGCTCATTTCACCGCCACCCTGGTCCAAAGTCAGCCCCACGGTGCTCCTGCGAAGAGGCGGCTGCAGGGGTCAGAACCAGATTTTTAACATCACGAGAAAGGGAGGGCTGGGCTCCGTGCACGGCTTCAAGTCCGCGGCGCGGTCTACGTGGGAGCTGAGCTCCTGGCCATATAAGGGCTCCGGCCTACCGACCCCGGAGCCACCTCACGAGACACTGAGGTGCCCTTTTCTCCCGGACCCCAGCTTCCACCAGCTCTCTAGGTCCACGGGAGAAGCCTCCTCTCTCCGAAACCGAGAATCGGTAGTCCGGCCTCGCCGCACACTCAGTCCTGGGAATCGGTTAAGTCCGGGACTCCGAGTCCCCGGTCCCTGTCACCCACGACGGGCCCGATCCGGGTCGTTTGGCCATCCGTGGAAAACCGTAAAACTCCCTTTACCTGTGGCAGCCCCTTTGGCCTTCTTCTTCTTTCGTCTTTTTTTCTTGGCTGCCTCCTCAGCCGCGGAGGCAGCTCCCTCTTCCCTGTCGTCTGGATCCAAGACGCCATTCAGGTGGCTCCCGGAGGACGGTGCCTCCTCCACGCCCGCCATGTTGCCCGAGAGAGCGCGAGCGAGTGAGAGCGAGCGGCAAGGGCCCGCTCCTCCTTCACCCACCTACACCAGCGACACCGGAAGTCGCTCTCGGTGGTGGGACGCAGGGCATGCTGGGACCGCGGAGGACTGGATTGCGGGGACAGCTCACGGCTGCTTAAGCAGCTAGTCGCAGGGTAGGGAGGTCTGCCTGGTTGTCGTGGCTGTTGCGAGACCCAACCCCCGCCTCCTTCCGTGCCTCGGGCATTCCCGGCCCAAAACTGCACTCCTAGGGTTGCGTTGAATACCTACCTCTGTGGAAAGCAGAGTCCGCGGGAGGGGAGTGTGTGTTGCAATCGAAAAGTTTTATATTTAAGGTTTTATAAAGCGTCCCAGAAGCTAGGAAAGGGGCTGAAATGTGCTCGCTTGTACACACTCGTTTTTTATGGCTCGAAAGGACTGCGTTATTAGTCACAATTACAGTTCAGGCGAGGCCGTCACGGAGACTAACCTGCAAAGGGACCGAAGATCAGTAAGATACAGGGGAGACTGTGTCTCAAGACGGTGTAATCAGCTGCGTTGATTAACGCATTTAACCAAAGGTCAAATAAGACGACTGAAAAGTGTCAGATGTATATAGTCTAGTCACATGGAAGATGTTGATGACCTTAGCAAGGCCTAAGAGGGAGGATCCAAAAAAGGGAATTTGTTTGTAAAAAATTGTGTATTCTTACATGTTTAAATTCAGTTCCTTTAAAAGTACTCTCCACTAGGTGCGATATACCTATTGAGATACTTTTCCACTGCCCAAAACAGTTGATTTTAATGCTAAATTTTAAGTGCTTCTGTTTTTGTTTCGCCTCTTCTACTTCAACAAAATGTTCCCTTTTGAGGACTTTTTTTTCATCTGGAGAAACTAGTCGCTGGGGGATTTGGGGGCAGAGATCGGGTGAAAAGGGAGGATCGGACACAGTGTCATGCCATTTTTTTTGGTCAAAAACTCCTGAACACTGCATTGTGGGCAGGTGTGCTGGTAAATCAGCCCTCCTGAAATGGGCAAACCTATTGAAAGAGTCTTCCAAAAAAAACTCACTGAAGCTTCAGGAACACAGCTTCTCACACTAATGCCAGCTGGTACAATGATAGGGATAGGTTCCTAGAACACACCTAGCAGGGGAAGCCTGTACTACAAAGGGCCTGCCCTCCAGAAAATTCCAGTTTGGGACGGGTCCTCCCTCCTATATAGTTGTCAGAGTAAAGAGCCTTAAGGGGCATTAGGAAATAGAGAATCTTCTCATCCTTCAAGTTTCAGCTTAACTGCCATTCCCACAGAGAATCCTTCCTGAATAACTGAAATGAGGCCCTGCTCTTAGAATCTCTAAGTTTTTAACCCCTTCTTCCTGGCAATTGTAATTAACTTTGTGTGATTGTTTTATGTCTATCTCCCCAGCTTCATGAAGATAAGAATCCTAAATATTTTATACTCTTATCACCAGCACCTACCTCTAAATTAGAGTGTAATAAGAGTTTAGTAAATACATATTGTGTGAATAAATAGCATTTGTGAAGTGCCAACTACTTTACAATCATTATCTCATTTAACCCACTTCTGAGTTGAGGAAATTAGAGAGTTTTGTTCATTTGCAGCAGGTCATATAGCAAGTAAACAGAGTTAGAACCCAGGTCATCAGGCACCAGAAATTAATAATTATGTATTCTGCCTTCCCAGCTGAAATTTCAAATCAGTTCAGTAAATATTTGACAGTGGACTAGAAGTAATTTTTCTTGGCAGAAGATGAAAAAAAAACCCCACAAATCTCTACTGTCAAGAAAGTTTAGCATTCAGTGAAACATATGTAAAGAAATAATAAAATGAGTTCCTAACACTCTCACTACATTATTATTTTCTATTCCACATTAGTCTATCACAAAGCTGAGGGATTTTTTTAAGGGTCTAAAAGATCTTCAAATTGAAGTCAAGATGTAGCTGGTCAACATCAGGAGGAATCAAAGCACATTTTTGTTGTTGTGCAAAGGTACAGCCAGAAGCTATCAACATCTTTATAAGTAAGATCTACTACAACAAAAATGCTTCGAGGCTTTGTTGTGAATCTCCTCAGTTCCTCTGTAAGTTCTGGGACCACTTGAGTAATGAATACTACCTTAGACCCCACTCTAGGAGACACGGGATCCGAGGATGAAACCTATAGGTTTGAGAGATGATTTTTGACAAAGGTGAAGTGTAAGTTGATCAACAGCATTATCAATGCCAAAATAAAGTTTGCTCAGCGAAAGCAGTAAGATGCCAAAATGCAATAAAACAAAATACTGTTTCTTTGCTGCGAAGGGATTGTACTGTACTCTCTCTTTGCTGTAAAGAGTCAAGAAAAGAAAACTTTAAGGTAGTAGTAAAAAACAATACATATCTTAACAGTTTGGTAATGGATATTTTCTGGGTGATCTTTTTCCAGAGACTGAAGAGTTGGAGGTAACTAAGTTAACTATACTTAAAATAGCAGCCCATGACATTCCTATTTTCATCATTTTGTTTTCTCTGCAAGAGAAAATTGAGTAGGGTAAAAGAATGAGAAATGTTGAAGAACTAAGTAAGACTCTAAAAGAACCTGTAATAACTTAACTCAATACCAGCAGCTGATGGAATATTTTTTGTAGCTAATTACATGAAGTCATTTTGTCTCAGAATGTTAACTAGGTAACAGGACAGAAAAAAATTTATTAGAAAGATACTCTCCTGTCATAAAGTCAATGCATTGTAATAAAACATGTTTATTATTTTGTCCAAAAATGTATTTTTGCTCAGAAAATTTTGATTCTAAAATGGACAACATAATTACCCCCAGCTTTATTTTCTCTGAAGTCTTTGCTGATTGTATAGCTTTGGACAAGTCGCTTAATCTCTCCAAATTTAGGTTTACTAATTTGTCAAATGAGAATAATAATAGTGCCACATCATATGATGAGGAAATGAAATTTCAAAATGGAGAGAAAGCACTTATGACCATACAGTGTCTGGCACAGCAGTGTTGTGTTAGCTAACATTATTGTTAGTAAGCCACGGTCTTGAAATTTTTCCATTTGTGTGGATTATATGATGTTCTAAATATTTTAAGGCACACACATATGTGACATTTGGCAATGGGTTAACAAGAAAAAAATTAGGAAATCTTGATTGCCTGACATTAAGGGAAATATCAAAAATTTTTATGTCTTTATGGTTAAAAATGCTATACATATTAATTTTAAATGTATAGGTAGTGTGAGATATCTATCTATCTATCTATCTATCTATAGATAGATAGATAGATATCTTTCCTAAAGTCTAGCCTAAATACATGGATGCTATATAGAGATTTGGGGGAGGGTAAACAAGTTGTATTATCTAACTATTCTCTGGTTACAAAAGGAAATAATAATATATCGTAAGATAAAGGTGACTTAGGATATCTTTGCACATGACTAAAATAGGGAAAGAATCACAGAAGAGAATGTGGCAAGAGAGCCATTTTTGATTTCAAGAAATGTTTTCTCCAGAAGAACAAAAGTGAGTATATTAAGAGTCATTGAGGAAATGGGTTTCAGATAAAGGATCCTTTGCTCCTTGAGCTGGTGTCTGGGATAGTACATCCCAGTATCTTGTGATCCTTTTTTTTTTTTTGGTGCCCTCTAATAAAATCATTCTCACTGACATCACCATAGGGCTCCTAGCAGCTGAAAATGGTCTTGTTTGAGACTTCATACTATTTACTCTTTCTTCAACAGTTGATGTAGCTGAACAAACTTTTGTAAAACTTTTCTTCTCACTTTCATTTGATCATTCTCTGAAGCACTTTCTCCTTGTTCTACAATTCCTTTGAGTTTCTTTAACAGAATGTCCCACCCTTATTTATTATAGACAAACAAATCCCTAAAATATTAGTGTCCTGTGTTGTGTTCTGTTTCTGGTCCTTTTCTCCCTGAGCTACCTCACTGATAGCCTTCTCCCACACCCAAGCAAGCCTAATAATCCTTACTATCTCCAGATCCATGTTTTTAACTGACTAGGAGATATCTTTGCTTGGATGCTCTGCAGGCATCTCAACTCAAAATACCCAAAGCTTATCTTCCCCTCCACCTCCTCCAAACGTGCTCCTCCTCTTCTATTTCCTATCTCACGAAGTAGTACCACTATCCACCCAAGAACCCAAGCCAGAAACCTGGGTATCATCCTCAACTCCTCCCTCTTCATACTCAGTTGATGAGTAAGTTTTCTTAATTCTACATTAGAAATGTTTCTGCAACTCAATCTCTCCTCTCTAACCTCCTAAGAGCCTTCCGCTAAGTTCTTATCAATATTTTTATCAACAATAACATCTTAGCAAGTCTCTCCTACTTGCTAAGGACATTAGATATAGAAATTTCACTATAGAGAAAAGTCTTAAAAATGGTTTTGAGGACTGACATAAGCCTTTAAAAAGGTTTGTTTTTTGTTTTGGGGTTTTTTTTTGGTCCAGACACAAAAAAACCAACACCACTACTCTCACTGTCATTTCATAATACTGATTTTAAAATACTGATCAACTTCAAAAAATGGAAAGGACCATATTCTCACAGTAGGAAATAATTCTTTAAATATACTTAGCTTTTTAAATGAAACACAGTTTGCTAGAAGGCAACCACTGTTCTAGAATCTAGGCTGCCTTTAGAGTTATCTTTCACAAAGCAAAAATGGCTTATTTTCCCTAGCCTGAACGTCTGTTTGTATTGTATAAACATTTGAGTTCATCCACAAAGTCTACATGCATCAGACTTTACTGCCTTTTAATGGTTACATAGTACGCATTGTGTTGACATGCTATTGACATGTCTGTTGTGGTCTTCTATTTTAGGCACTTTCTTAAATATTAAAATTTAAATATCATTTGTTACATATTGCCTAAAATCCTTACGATAAAAGGCACACTTTTTGTGGTAACACAAAAGGCCCTTTACAATTTGGTCTTAATTTACCTACTCCTCAGCAAGAACTTCCCCTAAACATTTCACATTCTTTCATCCCTTTATGCCAGTGGTTCTCAACCAGGAGCAATTCCCTGTCCCCTTCTCCAAGGGACATTTGGTAATGTCTGTTATAGTCTGAATTGTTTTCTCTCCCCAATTCATGTGTGGAAGGCCTAATCCACAATGTGACTGTATCTGG